GGTGCGACGTGTGCGGGTGAAAGGTAGGGAGGTAAGACGGGAGGTAGCATGCCACAAGATGTCGCTACTTCCAATGAGGTAGTATGCCACAAGATGTCGCTACTTTCTGTCATGTTATCCCCACTCGTTACCGCACACGTGCCTCACCCCCGCTGGCCCTAGTTTCATATTGGCGGGAAATTCTCATTGTTTTACTAGGGAGTGGACGTACTCATGTACGTATACAAAAATTTCTCGCTCGCTCCTCTCGGAGCTCCTCCGGATTAGAATCCACCTATCTCCGGAGAGAACTCGTTCTGAATGCGTAAATATTATTTATTATATATTTAAATTAAATATTTTATTGCTAAAAAATATTTTAAGACATAACTTCCCCGCCCCGCTGCCCCTCGGAGCTCCAGGATTAGTCTCGCTAGACGATCAAAGGTCAATGATGATGCAATGTTGTCTAACGTTTAGACGGACGCTCGATATTTCTGCTGATGATTCATGAATTGTATAACTACATAATTTTGTAGACATACTGTCTGGCAATGATGGTATAAAATTTAATATATTCACCGATTATCGATGAATGCGCGATGACGACGTATATTGACTTGTACCAGTAATTTTTTTCTACTGGACGCATCCGTGTTGCTCGTGAAGTGTTTTGCACATATTTCCAATAATGTTCCTAACATTTACATATACAAATAAAAAAATGCGGTAAGTATTTAGCTGATGAGAGAGAATATTAATTAAGTTTCATATGGAATGAATCTAATCTTGATATGGAATGAAGCTGTACGAATGTCATAGATTTTCATGGAAATTGTGCCGACAATTAGTAACAATGACTACGCTTTGGGAGAATCGTTGGGGGGGAGTCTGTCGATGATGTGTATAAAATCATCGTAAGGTAGATGGTGTGTATCAGTCAGTCATCGTATGGATCCCATTATAAAATTTACAAAATTGAGAAAAGTACTGATGACTACAAGTTTTTAGCAGAATCGAACGAAGAAAACGACTTCTTTTGCTATGAAATTTTGCCATCGAGTCCCATTCCGGCTTGTGATCTGATGATTACACGCGATGGAATTTGTCGACGTATCGTTTTCGGAGAGAGATAGGATTAGTGACGCCCACTGATATGTTGTGGATCAAGATGATGACAGCATTTAATCG